AGAGTGTTTCTTGCAATGTTTGCATGTACAGACTTGTTTCTACCTCTGAAAATCTGAATTCAGAATGGTAAATAGAGATGTACCTGAACTACAGAACCTCTGCTTGATTTACACAGTGAAGTTTTCTCCAGGGTTCAGGAGGTTTGATTATTATTTCAGGATTTTTTGTTTTATTTCCTCCTGCGTTGCATCTTGTGTGTGGTCATCTGCATCCATGCTGAGTGAGTGTCAAAGGCTGTCATTTTGATATGATAGTGTTTTACACTTGCTCATTAAACGTGTAAGTGACTCCAGAAAGTATAAGTCTGAGGTTCAAGCCTCCAGTGCTAAAAACTTTGATAAAGGAGGTCTTCTGTCAGTCTTGGATTTTTACTCAGAATTTATTTATTTATTTGTTTGTTTTACCACCAAAGTTAATGTGGACTCTGTTCTTGCTTTTCTTTGTGAACATGGCAAGCCTCAGGTAGTGAGAGAGACATTGCACTTACAGGGTCTTAGGACATGCTCCCTCCATCTCATGCACCTGCCGCCTGAGCATGGCAAGTATCACGGCAGGAAGGGGCTTTTTCCTCAAGTGGGGGATTACACATACCAAACAGAGCCACCTGACAGGTCTGCAGTCCAAGTAGCTGTACAGGATCCTGCAACTGGAGAGGGGAGCAGCCTTTGGGGCTGCTGTGACTAGCCCCGCACTGCGGGCCACTTCCTGCCGTGATACTTGCCATGCTCAGGCGGCAGAGCCGATGTGATTTCATGTCTCTCACGTGGCCCACTGCTTGGCACAGAGATAGATCCCCTCGTCTGTCTCTCGATCTGGTGTCATATGCGTCGCAATTTGAGGAACTTGCAAAGTTTGTTTCTGGTAGAATGGTTTGGGTTTGTCTCCTCTTTGTAGGAATTGTTTATACATTTGTAATCATATTGCTGATAGAAAGCAGCCATGGCACCAGGGTGTGATCCAGCTCTGACATGAGTCACACAGGATTTTTTTCCTGTGTGGTTGGCTTGGAACTATACAAGGCCTAAAGAACTGTTACAGCTTCAGCAACTAATGGAAGGGAAACTTGACTGCTGAGCAGCAAATCAGTGTTAGGTCTATTAGCAGGCCATAGACTTTACAGTTGATCAAGTGTTTACATTGTATTATGTGGCTGAGATGCTTGGTGTAGCAGACATTTGCCACTGTGTGTTCATTCCACTCCTAGGTAAGAAATTTCCTCACACATGTATCTCCACTCTGACCCAGCAGTCCTTTACCAATCGAACCATACTTGATGTAACGAAATCCCTTGTATCAACATCCAGGAATCCTACATTTCACTAGTCTCCCACCCGCTGTCATGTAGCTCAGGGTGCTCAAGAAATATTGCTAAGCATAAGAATAAATGGTTGATGATAACTACACCAACATCCCATTAGAGACTGAGGTTTCTGGTAATATAAATGATTTGAACAAACACGTTTCACTCATTTCTGCAGAAGGGGAACAACTGATGAATGGTCAAATCAGCCACTAGTGCTGCGTGGTGGTAAGAGGGTAAAACATGGGTACTGCGCTTCCCTTTGTGCTCTGTTGGGCCTTTTAAAGGGAAGCAGTCGTCCAGTGGCAAATCAGCATTCCACTCAGCTGCTGGCAGCTGAAAGATGTATGATCCTACAGCACTGGAAAAATTCCCATTGGAGACAGCTTTGGATTGCTCTCCCCCTCTCAACCCTGGGAAAGACTAAAGAGAGGGAGGCGTGTATTGAATTTTCCTTATGTTCCCTTGAGGGAGGCTGGGTTTACTTTATAACTTGTGAACTGGCAGTGAGCTGGTCCCAGACAATGCCAAGATGGGTAGATGCCTTCTAGAGCTGGTGCAGTTACTTATCTGGGTGAACGTGGTTTCCCTGCAGTTTTGTCAAGACTGTCCACAATTTTGGCTTCAAGTACTCTGCTTGCCTTGAAGGATTTCTTGGGAATGGGAACTCAAATGAGTCTTGGGTTACATTAGCAATGTATGGTCTCCTCCACTGATGTCTGGTGGCAGCAGAGGTTGATTCAAAGTAGAGTCAGTCTCTCCTGGCTCTTGGTAGCTCTCTTCCCAGGGGTCTCTGCTTTTGCCTGTAAATTTGCCTTTTGTCTATGATGTGTGTCTTGTGAATTTTTTAATTATTATTATTTTTTTAATGGCAAGGGAGATGGAAAGGAGTTGGGTGAGTGACAATATTATTTTTTCAGACTTTCTCTGCATGAGGTAGATCTATTTATTACACAGAAGGATCAACCCATAATGCTTAAAGTTAGAATCAAAGAAGGTGTAGCCATTTTGTCTGTTTATGGAGTCTCTCCACAACACAGCATGATTGCCCTTTGGCATCAGAGGGGTTAACCCAGGAAAAGTTTGGTATTATTAAAAACATGTTGGCATTGAAAGAGTTAACAAAAGGGCTTTCAGGCAGTAAACGTTGAAAGATTATGCTAATTTTATTAGTGGTGAGTGTCTATGTTGTTCTTAACGTGTCACCTCACTTGTTCAACAGAAAACTGAGCTATACAACATATTGATCATCTAGCAAACCAAAGTACTAGTGACCTATAATCTACCAATCATTTATTGACTTTATCCAAATTCAGACCCACAAATGCATATCAATGCTGTGTAATACTTTTTTAGAGATTAGTCGTTGTGTAGTAGGTCTGATCAACTTTTCCCCTGCCCTGGAAATAGAAAGAGTTAAACATATCCAATAATAAAAATAAGACACTCTAAACATCTTACAAAGGAGAAAAAGAAGAAGCTGATTTAATGGTCTAATGAGGCCATCTTCCAGAGACTTGTTTTGTGTAGGACTTGCTTTGACCTTTCACTTTGCTCAGGAGCCCAACGCTTCATTTTTCACATTCTTGCAATTACGTTAACGCTTCAAGCATTTCTGACTCCAAGTCAGCTAGCAACACCAGGCATAACTCAACACTGTGAGTTTTTCTCCTCTCTGTAGATTCATTAACAGGTCACTGGGGTCCTAACTGAAATTTAAAACTGACTGGTTCTGTTGGGTTAGCTGAGTTATAGCAAGGGAGATGGCAGGAAAAGGGCTGAGAGAAGGGGAAGGGGGAGAGAAGACCCTGGGGTTTTTGCCAGGCTATATATGTGTAAAAACTCTAATCGGAAGATTAAAAGGTGTGTGTAGCTTTATAATCCACCCTTTTCTTTGGAGGGGGAAAAAAAAAAACATATATGAAAGTCTTCTGGGGTATTATGCTTTCCTTATTCTTTGTAAAACAAAATGAAAACAGCCACTGCCTTTACGTACAAGGCTAAATGACTTCTAGAATTCAACCTCCATTTGTACCGCAGTGATGGATATGACGCTCCCAGACTTTAATTCCTACTTAATTTCTTTATGGGATATTTCAAAAAATGAATATGGCAGATTATGCATGAAAAGTGGAAAATAAATCTTTTTAAGGTTTAAAAACATGTGGTCTCCAGGAAAGCACCAGGGAATTGTTTCAATTTCATATTTTATGATACCAAGATCTTATAGCTGATTTGCCATATTCTTAGTTCAGTCACTCAAAGGGCCTGATCCAGCCAAGTCAGATAGAGGCTGTTTTTTTTTGGGAACTTTCATGAAGTTCAGCATCTTTTGGGGATTAGGCCTGGGGTGATACTTGACTACAAGTGAGAATCCAGAGACAAGAACCTTCTAGGTTTTAGTGCAGTAAAAATAATTAATAGGCATCGCATTCACTTTGCTTTACTCATGTGAGTAGTTCATTGGTGTGTGTTTTTTTGTTTGGTGGGGGTGTTTTTGGTGAAACTACTTGTGCTGAATGAAGATACATGCCCCTTTATAAATAATATCTGGGGCTTTTCTCTGGGATCATATCTTAAAGTAGTTTTGAAACACTTACGACAGCTTGTCCGGCAATTTTGTCTGCAATAGCTGTCTGTGGCAAAGACTCATCATCTGGCTTGGGTCCCAATCAACTAAGATATTAGCTGAAATTCTGTTCATCCCAGGTTATGTCTCTGGGTTGATGCATTTTCTTATTCTATATATACCATCTTGTAATAACTATGTTATAAAAATTAAATTTGTTTACAAAACTAGCTGACAATGCTCAAAGGCCTGTCCTAGTATTAAAACCCTAATGAAAGTACATAAAGCTTTGAACCAAACTCCAATAGGCAGAAAAACAAAACCACAAAAAAACACCAAAAAACCCAAACACATTAATGCAAAGTCTTTGGAAGTTTAGTATTCAAAAGTTAATGATGAAACTTCTCTTTCCTAGTGCTGTATGTATAGGTAAGCCTACTGAGGCTAGTATGCATATTCATCATAAGGATTCAGAAAATATTTTTATTCCTCTTTATTTTTACCTATAAAG